AGGATTTGTCACACTGAAGCCAAACGAGAGTGTGATACATTAGCCAGAAGTTTATGAAGTCTATAAAAGCGTGTTTAATTTGCGTTGAAGAGTTCAATTAAATTATTAATCTTTTTATAGTGAGTAAGTCCTGAGAGTGCTACAAACACATTTTTCAAGCCCTTGTCCAGCATTGTGGCATGACGTCGGGCCAGACATCGCGGGCCGGATCTGGCCTTCGGGCCGTAGTTTGGTGAGCCTTGAGTGAGTATGATGTCACCAACACTTCTTCAATTCTAACGTATGATCTCCAACCAAAGAGGACATATGTACGGTAATATTAGAGTTTGCAGCAGTGACATCACACGTGTCAGACATGGGAGGCCTTCTTACCCTCATCGACATGGCCGGCGTGCCCCGTTTACATGAACAATCTGAGCCCCATCCCGCTCCCCACTAGCTCTAGTATGTACCGAACGCCATTAAAAACGCAACACTTCGTTCGCATAGTCTGAACACGTTTGCATCAAATGAATACAGATGAAAAGAAGTGTTTTTTAAAGTTTATTCAATTTCCAACAAATGTGAACCATTTTGATTACACACAATAACTGATTTCGATACATTGTCCTCCTTTTCTTGGCGTACCCCCTTAAGGGGGGGGGGGGGGTTTACACCTGAAGGCTATCTCGCTTATTACTGGACCGAATGTTACCACATTTCACACATAAAACAAGTATAGTAAGGAGTTTTAAAATCCGCAATCATATTTGAGATAAAAGTTCGTTTCCATGGATACGGCGGCCATATTGGATTTTGTTGACATGTCTTACGTGATGAATACCGCACTTGTCGTTTATGGAAATTGATCGTTTTTTTTGCATGCATGTTAACAAACATTAAATCTAAAAATTTGTCTGTTGTTTTTTTTCTTAAACGAATTAGAAAACTTTTAATGAATTTTTTCCTGAGGTAGCATTCAAGTTTGCAAAAAATCCGTGAAAATCCACACTCCAGATACCGCCAACAAAAATTATATCAAAAATTCAACAGACAAATTTTTAGTATTACTTTTTTTCTTCATTCTGTGAAAATTTCTGAAGATTGGATGAAAAATGGTGGAGTTATTAAAAAAAGTATAGAGAAAAGTCGCGTTTGGAGAAAACGGCCAATAAAGAAAAATAAAATATTGACTTTAATGAGGAAGGAAATGGCGGTGACAAACATGCCCGGTATGGGAAAAAGTACGGTTCTTGCGGGTTCTTAAGCGATGAAATAGTTGTAGGAGTGGCTGAGGAAGCTAAAAATGCCTACAACTCAAATTCCATAATTTTGAGCCGAATCTTGACTTTGGGGGTGTAGCCCCCCCCCCCCCCCCTTAAGACAAATTTGCACATAAACACAAATCGAAGCTCAGTAAACATTTCTAACCCTTAGTAAATTGTGGGGCCATCATAAACATTTGAACAACCGAAACACTTCTTCACATGGAGTTTATAACATTTCAAATGTTTTGTTGAGGAATTTTGTCCCACTTTCGCGTCAGCGCGATCTTCCAATAGCTGCAGATTCGCAAATCGGCACACTCTCTGAGATTCAGTTCATCCCATACGTGCGCTGTTGGAGACATGTCGAGTACGTACACTGGTTAGTCCATGACATTCTTGTTATGATCTTCCAGAAACTTTGTTGTTTGCCTAATGGCTAGAGTAAGGGCAGGAGAGTCGTGTTGGATCACTGAGAGATTCTGATTTTTACTTTGTGCTGTTTTTCACCGTGAAGAAGCCGCTGTTGTAGAGGCTTCGTTAATTGCAGTCCTAAATAAGGCGTTCTTGATCTAAGTCATGTACTTACTGCTCTGCGCCTCACACTGATGAAAGAAACATTTTCACGCACCCCATGCATGCCTTGAGCTGCTATTTTTTGAGAAACGAAACGATTTCGCAGATGCTAATCAAAATCTGCCTCTCTTAAACACGGCTGGTCACTCGAGACTGTCCTATTGTTTGCCCTTTTCGGACATTTCAAGGGTGCTATAATCTTTATATAAGTCGAGAACAATACAAGCACTGCATTGTAGCCGCATTGCTGCTTCTCAGGCAGATTTTCCGCTATGAACAAGGCGGAAGCGAACGTTTTGATCAGCTTCGTTAAGTTGAGGAATCTTGTAAGAGAAGAAATAAAAAATTGATCGAAAATAAGGTAGGACTTTTGTTTGGACTGAGCTGCGGGTCATCTTTCAGATAAATAATGTTGTATTCTTTTATAATACAGCAACTAATGAACGCACTTTACTAAAGCATAGTTTACTGTATTGTGATGAAAAGTATTCAAGGAAATAGCAAAATCGTGCATCGGTGTGTCGACTAATAACTACTCACTTGTGTCTCCAAAAATCGTGACGATCAGAGTTTATTGGGCTTTGAAATAACTTTTTGAAAACGTGTTTTTAATGGCGTTCAGTATATATTAAACACCACCCTGCCCCCATATGTCAGTGCAAGCTTGTAAATTTCCCTGTAAGACCGCCGAGACACCTCCTCGTGAGTCTCGAAAAGTACTGACCGGTCTGCTGAACTGCGCATGTCTTCCCCTTGAAGTTCAGCGTCCCAGAGTGGGCACACGGACCCCCCGTTCGTTTACGCGGGGGGACATCACTGCCACGGACTTCAATACTACATTTTTTTTGTATAACCTCTTTGTCT